TTGCTACTTGTCCGAACTTTTTTGGGATTTGTTGACACTGTAAAATTTTGAATCAACATATTTTTCCTTTAAAATGTTACATTTACTCAGATTAAACTTTTGATCTGTCATCTATGTTATATTACGAATAAAATATTGACATTTGCCATCTCCGCATCATTGTATTCAGTTTTTATTCACAATTTGTTTAGTGTCCCAACTTTTTTGGAATCCGGTTTGTAAATAGGTTGGGTTCCTGGGACAGATCTTACTGCACCAGTTTTCAATCAGTTTGTGGTCGTGGCTTTGAAGGTCCAGTCCAGAATCTTAATGTTGGTCTAGAACAGTGATGATGAGGTTGGGACCATGGTCCTGTAGGGACACCCAAGGTTCATCTGTCTAGCTGCTGTTTTGAGAAGAAGCTGTAGAATAGGTGACTTTCTCCTTCATTATTTCATCCACAGTATGATACTACCACCACCATGCTTGACAGTTGAAAAAGTTCAAGTTGTCTGTTTCGGAGTAGGAGCTTTTTTCTTGATCAGCGTTGTCTCAGTCAATATGAAAACTGGTTCCACTGCAGACAGAGACACCGTTTCCGGTTCATGGGATCGAGCCTCTACGATTCTGGTTGGTCCTAAACAATTAAGTCCATATTCTTTCATCTGAGCGTGACAAATGAGTGCTGTTTAAAACAAGAAGTGCTGTTAAAGGCACATTTATCAAGCTGGCAATCAGAAACTACCAGCTGCAGTCAATCATGGTCACTAACAGGAAGTTGAAAGGCCTCCTGGTGAACTTGGAGGTGTTGTCATTGGGGCATAAGTGGCCATAAATTACATAAACTTTGCTCTGGTGGGCTGAGCAACACATAACATGTAATGTAGTTAAAACAAGCATAAATATGGAGAGGTGCAAAAATCCAAAAATGGGCGGGGCAAATTGGCTTTCTAACGCCATCTGGAATTCAGCCCCTCTGATCACTGTAACATACACATATGAAATTTGGTTCATAGATGCATTGGTCCAGGACCTACAAAAAAGTCTCTTGGCATCATGTAAAACCTACAGGAAGTCGACCTTTTTCAATGAATTGGCAACTTTTTTGAAATTTTCACGTCTTTCCCGAACACTATTTCATCTTCAAATTTAGACGCATCAAGCTGAGATTTAGACCAGAGCACCTTGATAAGATGATGCACAAAAGTTATAATCAGTTTCTCTAAAATGGGTGACAGTGTGGGCGTGGGATTTTTTTTTTAAAACTCACTAGTTTTACTATCAAACTACAATGGGGCTAACAATAATGTACACTGTTCAAACTGCGTAAAACTGAGCATGACAACGAAGTTTCAACTTCTGAACATGACTCTATGTTAAAGTCATAAATTAACAGTGCCACTTAACGCTGTAAAAAAGAACTTGTTTAAAAAAAATTCTCCTCACACCGTTTATTGCCGCACCTTCAAATTTGGTGTGTAAAACGTAGACCCACTGAGAAGATAAAAAATAATAATAATAATTCACCACCTAAGTTCAAAGGGCGTGGCCAGAGCAGCTTGGCAGACTTGGAAGTGTTGCTTTTAAGGCTAAACTGGCCTTAATCAACATAAGTTGTTCTGGTGGGCCGAGCATTGCAAAACTTGGCATATACTGTATTTGAATTAGCATAAATATGGTGATGCAATAAAAAGAGATATTCTTCTTCTTCTTTCGGCTGCTCCCTTCTTCAGGGGTCGCCACAGCGAACGAAGTCGCACGAAGACTTGGCAATTATTTTTGTGCTGGATGCCCTTCCTGACACAACCACAGACCACTGAGCTACCACAGCCTCTGTGTGGAGCAGAGAGCTGCTATATAGGGCGCCTGGGGAAGCAGAGGGTGGGGGTTAAGGGTCTTGCTCAAGGGCCCAGAGTGGGGCAAATGAGGGTGGAGACAGGTGTGGGTGTTTCACCTGTCCCACACACATTTTGATGTTATCAATACCGGGAGTTGAACCATCTATCTTCCGATCACAGGCCCACCATCTCTAGCCTCTGCGCCACCACTCCCTCCCAATAAAAACAGATAAGTCGATGGAAAACTGGCTCGCTTTGCCTCTAATATCGTCAGACTTTGCAGCTTCCAGGGAGCACATCCAGGCGTTCTGGTCCCTGAAGAAAGAAGTGCATTTCTCTCAGATTACAGGGAGCAAAGCGATGTGCCGGCAGCCGCCATGACATACAGTGCACAAGGGTCCTTTAAGATTTAATTACAGCCTGAGTGCTGTGAAGCAGCAGATGGCACTATTGTATTTGTCCTGATTATTGTTACTTTTATTTTCCTCAGCACAACTTGTTAAAAGATTTAGGTGAATTTATGTATATACTTTAGCCTGAACGTATCATTTTAGACCTGCGTCGATTAAATAAATTCAAACTTGTGAACATAATTATTGTTTTTTAAAGTTATTGACGAATCGTCATTTTAATGTGGAAAATGAACAGTAAAAAAATAATAAATAAATAAATAAATAAATCAACAAAGGCCAGAATTAATCTGACATTCAGGCCCACGATGAAATAATGAGAAAACTTCTGAGCACAGCTGTATTAAAAAAACTATCTTTCTCACATCAAATAACTTTTTACTAGCAATTGATTAAGCATAAGCCCTAATACAGATTCTCTAATATTTTTATAATATTTAAAATATAATCATTTATATATATTTTTTTTGTTTGGATCTCTTGATATAAAAAAAAAAAACCTTTTTGTTTTACTCTGGAAAATACCTGATTTTTCAGGAAGGTAAGCTAACTTTTAGTTTCCGTTTGTCACTAAAATTGTAAAAATAAATTTTTTTCCTTCAAAAATTTGTGTTAAAAGTGTTTACTGTAGCAATCACACAAACAAACAACACATTAACTAAAGCTGCACTGCGCGTTACACCTGTCCACTTCCTGTG